ACCTATATGCTAAAAATAGCTTTTTCTACTTTTTGCCATAACTTTTGAACCATAAGAGATAAGGACTTCATATTTAGTATGCATACTCCACTAATAAAGTTCTTTCAAACAATACCAAGGTCAATGACCATGTGAAGTTAACTGTGACCTTTATACTAAAAATAGCTTTTTCTACTTTTTGCCATAACTTTTGAACCATAGGAGATAGGGACTTCATATTTAGTATGCATACCCCACTAATTAAGTTCTTACAAATAACACCAAGGTCAATGACCTTGTGACCTTGACTGGGAACTATATGCTAAAAATAGCTTTTTCGAACTTTGTTGACGCCGGGCGCATAGTGTTTCACAAACACATCTTGTTACCCCTTGACGTTGATGTTTTACATAATTTTCAAAATATTTAACTCTCCTAAAAGATGATTAGGCTTCTGAGTAACATTAAGGAAGACTTCAAGGAAAACAGGGCTTTTTGCACAAAAAACGTCATTTTTCAACCCACATTTGACCCCCCGGGGCAAAATCTAAATTCCAAAACCTTACTGCACATCTACATGACCCCACCAACCATCTCCCAAAAGATGATTAGGCTGCTGAGTAAAATGTAAGAGGAGTTCAGGGAAAACAGGGCTCTTTGTATGAAAAACGTTATTTTTCGACCCCCATTTGATCCCCTGGGGCAAAATCTTAATTCCGAAAACTTACTGCACATGTACATGACACCACCAACCATCTCCCAAAAGGTGATTAAGCTGCTGAGTAAAATGTAGAAGGAGTTCAGGGAAGACGGGACTTTTTGCACAAAAAACGTCATTTTTCGACCCCCATTTGACCCCCCGGGGCAAAATCTAAATTCCCAAACCTTACTGCACATCTACATGTCACCACTAATCATCCCACAAAAGATGATTAGGCTGCTAAGTAAAATGTAAGAGGAGTTCAGGGTAGATGGGGCTTTTTACATAAAAAACGTCATTTTTCGACCCCAATTTGACCCCCCGGGGCAAAATTAAAATTCCGAAACCTTACTGCACATCTACATGACACCACCAACCATCCCCCAAAAGGTGATTAGGCTGCTGAGTAAAATGTAGAAGGAGTTCAGGGAAGACGGGACTTTTTGCACAAAAAACGTCATTTTTCGACCCCCATTTGACCCCCCGGGGCAAAATCAAAATTCTGAAACCTTACTGCACATCTACATGTCACCACTAATCATCCCACAAAAGATGATTAGGCTGCTAAGTAAAATGTAAGAGGAGTTCAGGGTATATGGGGCTTTTTTACATAAAAAACGTCATTTTTCTACCCGCATTTGACCCCCCAGGGCAAAATTAAAATTCCGAAACCTTACTGCACATCTACATGACACCACCAACCATCCCCCAAAAGGTGATTTGGCTGCTGAGTAAAATGTAGAAGGAGTTCAGGGAAGACGGGACTTTTTGCACAAAAAACGTCATTTTTCGACCCCCATTTGACCCCCCGGGGCAAAATCAAAATTCTGAAACCTTACTGCACATCTACATGACACCACTAATCATCCAACAAAAGATGATTAGGCTGCTAAGTAAAATGTAAGAGAAGTTCAGGGAAGATAGGGCTTTTTGCATAAAAACGTCATTTTTCAACCCCCATTTGATCCCCCGGGGCAAAATCAAAATTCCGAAACCTTACTGCACATCTACATGACACCACCAATCATCCCCCAAAAGGTGATTTGGCTGCTGAGTTAAATGTAGAAGGAGTTCAGGGAAGAAGGGACTTTTTGAACAAAAAACGTCATTTTTCGACCCCCATTTGACCCCCCGGGGCAAAATCAAAATTCCGAAACCTTACTGCACATCTACATGACACCACCAACCATCTCTTAAAAGATGATTAAGCTACTGTGTAAAATGTAGGAGGAGTTCAGGGAAGAAAAGTGTGACAGACGGACGGACGGACGGACGGACATGAGTCACAACAATATACCCGAACTTTCTTTAGAAAGTGCGGGTATAACAACAAAAATATTTTTATACCAATACAGGCATTCTTTTGTTTTATTTTTATCATCTCTCCTTTTAGTTCACGAAGCATCTCGAGGACCTTTCATACCTTATCATCTTTGTTTGATTTTATTTCTTTGTTGTTTAACGTGCCTGTAGGGAATTTTTCACTCAAAGACACCATCTCTTGTCGGTGGATAGCTGCAAACTCTGTCCCATATTCGGCACTAACAGGCATTGAGCAATAACGGATCTTTTTCGTGCCAAGAACCACTGCAACACGGGACCTTGCTTTATACTGTCTAATTAGAAGGACCCGTCTCAACGTCTTACATCGAAAGTTGAATCCGCTACATAAGTATTAACGCTTTATTACTTTGCGACACTAGAGCAGACGCGTTTACCACTGCGCAACGCGGACGTATTTTTCGTCGAAGAGGATCATGAGGATTTCCAGATAAATAAATAAATATATTAGTTATATAGATCAATAAATTATAAATTTGAGAGGGTTTTAACGTTTGCAAGAAAAATAAATAACTACTTAATGTATCTATATGGCTATCAAAAGTTAGAAGGATACTCTCTATCCCCTATTCGAATGTCAAACTACATGCTGTGACCGGTTTTCTTATCAAATTACTGTAATGAAATATATTGAGATATGCCTGTCATCAAAAAAGGGTGGGATTAAAAAAAAATAAACGCCAAACAAATAAATATGAACACTAATATATGTACATATATAACAAATATAAGATAAGACGGTGGAAGAAAGGGGGATGAAGGGAGGGTTTTTCGACAAAAAATTTCCTTGTAAAGAGCAAGAGCCATCTTATGCATAAAATGGCCCTGTATTTATATCAATTAATTAACTACCACCCTCTTTCCATTTTCATATATCAAAATAAAGTAGACACTTGGTGCTTTCGTATTCTATAATGAAATTTCGTTTTGAGAATCCAAATATTTGAAAACAGGCTATGAGAAGTTGCAATATTCTTGAAATTTGCAGAAAATATGCGTATTTGACTACCTTCAGCAAAGAATTAAAATATGAGCACAGCCCACGATCCAAATATAAAACATGTTTTTTAATCTTCAGAAATAGGCCTTTCATTATGTAGTTCGATTTTAGGTCATTTTCAAAGGAATTTACAGGACATGAGGAAAATGACGCATTTTATGACGTCATAATGCATTAATTAGATGTGAAATTACGTCACAATTAATAGATACGTAGTCACCAACAGTCCAAGTGATAAATACTTCATTTGCAACCTAACCTGCGCGGTTTTGAATTTTCAGAAATTCTCATGGCCAAGAAATGCCCAAAGTGGCTCTACCTCTTTGTGTGGCTTTCTCATTTGGTAAATAAAACAATGGTCACGTGATTAGGAGAAGCCACTCTGATTGGTTGTAAATTAAGACAATGGAGTTATAGATTAAAATTAGGTAATTGATCCCGATCTAAATATTTTTTTAAAAATGAAACAACTTTACAATAATTACTGAATAAAAACATGTTACATCAGAAATAAATTATAACAAATAAAACAATTACAGTTCTTATAACTCTGTCACATAAAGGATATTATTATTGTAATTATAATAGCTCATTTATGTTCCTCTGTTATTATGCAAGACCGAAGCCAAGACAACTGAGCTAGTTTTTTGATGGATTAAAATTAAAATAACAACAGTAGTGAAAGTAAAAAAAATGTCATTTATTGAAGTAAATGACGCAAAACAAAATATAAACATTTTATAAGGGGGTCAGACAAGAATAGAAAAAAAACTTCGAAAGAATACAAAAATCTTTTGTATCATATTATGCAATCTGACCCCCTAAAATTAAATATATCATAAAGCAGGCACTGATATGCCTGTCATAAAAAAAGGTGGGATAAAAGAAAATAAACGCACAATCCAATCCAATTGATTTAGAAGGGAATGAGATGCGTTATTGAAAAAGAAGCGAGAGGAACTTTCTGTCAAAACTTATTTGTCCATAATACACATTGTGTATTCCACTTAAGTATATTCATGCCAAATGTGAGCACTTGATGCCAAGATTGAAAGTCATTGATGACGGAATGAAGGAAGCCAATTTAAATCTTAGACATAATCAATATGCTTATAAAAACTTATTTTAAAATGTTTAGAATAGATCATACTGAATAATTATTATACTGCCATTACACCTTACACATTTACAGGTTTCGAGGTAGATACAGTCCCTTAAAGTATTTTTTCATGTCATTCTAAACATATTTTCTTTTCCAAGAAAGAGCAAAAGCCATCTTGTGCATAAAATGGCCCTGTACGTATATCAATCAATTTACTATCACTCTCTTTCTCATTTCATATATCAAAATAAAGTAGACACTTGGTGTTTACATTTTCTATAATAAAATTTCGTTTTGAAAATCCAGATATTGGAAAAACAGGTTTGAGAAATTGCAATGTTCTTGAAATTTGCTGAAAACATGCGTATTTGACTACAATCAGCAAAGAATTAAAATATGAGCACAGCCCACGATCCGAAAAATAAAACACGTTTTCTGATCTTCCAAAACAGAGCTTTCATTATGTATTTGCATATTGTGGATCATAGGTCGTGCTCTATATTAAATATTGAAAAAATGCTTAAACTTTAGGTCATTTTCAAAGGAATTTACAGAATTAGAGGAAAATGACGCATTTTATGACGTCATAATGCATTGACTAGATAGAAAAATTACGTCACAATTAATAGAAACGTGGTCATCAACACTCCAAGTGATAAATACTGCATTTGCAACCTAAACTGATCTCTTTTGATTTTTCAGAAATTCTCAGGGCCAAATAAGGCCCAAAGTGGCTCTTGCTCTTTTATAGGTTTTTCACTTTTATGCAAAGAAGATCTTTAATGTTGTGTTTATTATTTGAAGATACTGTTCTTTTCTTGCTTATTTACGAAACTATTTTCTTTCATTTTTTCTCTTTTTTTCATTTAAAATTTTAGTCAACCTTGCCAACAAAACAGTTTATAAAGGCACACCTTCACAGAGTTCAAGCTACGGCATGTCAATGTTCTCAGCAGATAAAGCAGTGGATGGGCAGATTCAAAAAGGGACAGACGGTAGTTCTTGCAGTTTTACAATAGGACAAACAGAATACCAAACAGCATGGTGGAAGCTACCTTTGAAACTGATGTCAAACATTGCATACTTGCAGATACAGTTCCGGAACACGTGTACAATTTTACTAAAAACAATCCAATTAGAATATCGATCAAAAGCATTTTTCATTTATTTATTATGCATATATTTTTAGAAATTATTTTATCTATGCAAAATTGAAGGTCGTGAATTGCATAAATAGCTTTCTTTTTTTAAAAATAAGTTTAACAGTTTCTTTTGTTTCAAAAATAGATTATTATTCTACCTACGTTTCTAATTTTTTAAATTTTTACATGTACAGTCAAATATTTTTGTCAAACTATTAAAATTATCTAAATGATTAAAAAACGCATGTCATATTTTAGAGATAGTCTTATCCTAGCTGCAATGTCCATTAATTTTTTTTCATAATGTAAGGCCAAATTCGGTGTCTTAAACCTTTCAGATTAAAAAAAAAAACAATTAAGGAATCTCTTTTTCAAAATTGATTTAATGAAAGCTACATTTGACTGCGTAAGTTTCATTTAGAAAGATTGTACATGAGAAGACAAATATCAATACTTTAGTTTTGATTTAGAAGCTACGTGCATGTTTATTTAAAACATATAATGCAAGTTCTAAAACAAATATGATAGCATGAGGTTATCTTTAAAATAATGTCTGCTTACCCTTATCCGACTCAACATAAAATTAGTACGACTTGAGGTAGCCGGGAAAGTCTTGACAGATTTAAAACAATTGATAATACGATAAGCAGAATCCATAGATAAAAATTTATCTTGTAATGGACTGTAAAAAGTAAGAAGTTATGAGTCGGATCATTTTTATTTCATTCGTTTGGGAGGAGGCAACCAAATAATATACATAAAAATGGACTGATTAACTAATTTCAGTAAAGGGTTATAAGCTTAATTTTTTTTCCAATTCACACCCTGACATGTCAACTAAAGATATTGCCTCTTTCAGGGCATCTGAATCCATTTCTGATGACCCAGAAGTCTAAGTTTGCTCTACTCTCCTTTCCTTTTCTTCAATTGAATTTTGAGCTTGATAACATTTTGTTTTCTTTATTTTTCATTTCAGTGGAAGACAGACTTTATGGATTTTCCGTGTATGTTTTTAACGATTCCTCTTTCGAACCACCGTCACCTCTTGGTTATAAAGTATTTACTTATGGTGGGCATTCATGTCCGTCAGTTATGATGAACGTTACTGTCAATAGAGTAACCAAGGGAATAGCTCTCTTCAATTCTAATGATGAAAACCATCAACTTTGCAAAAAATACGAAAAGAGTTTTGCAACTATAGAATTATGTGAAGTCTTTGTCATGGGTAAGTTTGTAGAAATAGATGTACACATTTTGTCTCCTCGATATCAATGATTTTATATGCACACATTTAAATAAAAACATTTTCAAGAGATTTTAAAAGAACTATTCTAATACAATTTTCTACGGCTAAGCAAGCGTACATTATCAATTATTTTAAAAGAACAGAATTTGCCTATTAAAGAACCTTTCAATAGATTTTCTTTCCCGCTTACTTAATAAAAACTAACATTATACGGCAGGTGTGTCAGGGGATCCTCACTTACACCTGATTCCGCCTTTAGTGTTTAAGAAAATCCCATGTTTGCTTTGTTCACGATCTCTATTGTTTAGTTTGAATACTAATCATGATCTCCATATTTACTTGAAATGGGTAGTAAATAATAAAAGAAATTATTACAAAAATTTATTTAAAAACAAAATATCACAAACAAATGTGTTTTTCGAAATGGCTAAGAAAAGAATGTTATTAAGAATGTTATGTGAATGCATACGGTTATACCTCTGATAATGTCTCACTTGTGTTGCTGTTGGTGAAATTATGCAGGTTGCCATGAAAAACACTTTGGATCTGATTGTATTGAATGTGACGATAAATGTTTAGACAGGCAATGTGATGTTTTCAATGGATCATGCATATATGGTTGTAGTGATCCTCTAATGATGCCCCCGGAATGCAATGGAAAGTAACTTCATGCCATCATTACAATTTATAATTTTTCAAATTACACATTAAAGCCTTTAATTCTTGAATGACTGCTCAGTTTTATTTATTTAAAAAAAATATTTATGGAATTTAATTTCATTATGACTGATTCTTTGTATAATACACAAATACTAATACATTTTAGCTTGTATTGACGGTTATTATGGGTATCCCTGTGAACAATGTGGTCATTGCTTACACCAAGAAGTATGTAACAAATCTAATGGCTCTTGCCAGAAATGTGAAAAGAATTGGTTGAAACCGCTCTGCAAAGGTACGTCTTTAAAGAAAGATTAATGTTACCACTAAAGATGGTCTTGCATTCCTTTTTACTGGTCAGTTTTTGCATCTTTTCACGCCTCTCCTTTCTTTTTGGTTTGATATATTTGGAAGTCTTGTACCTTTGCATTGTAAGTGCGATTTAATTTTCGAATTTGCTAACAATATTTCTGGTATTTATGATTTAGAAAAAATCGTAAATAAATAATCACTTGAAATATGCATATAAATAATAACAAAATATTTGAAAATACCAACTCATTGAAGCAGCAAATGTACTAATAAATGAAAAATAGCAAATATTTATATTTTTGGAAAATAATAATAGATATATCAAGTAATATTCAAGGTTGATGAATTTTTTTTTTGATGTGTGTTGTTGAAGTTGATTTATTTTAACCCAATCACTAGTAAAATGATATTAAAATTTAGATTTTAAATTAGGCCCATTTTCAATAAGAAAAAAAAATGTTTTTATGATTGATACATTTTCAATCAAAATCAATTATCCTTTCACTGTAAATAAACCAGTGTAATTCAATACATAAACAGCAACATCGATAATATATATCAAACTTTAATAATAATTGCTATCAGGAGGGCAACAAGATCTCGATATTTTGAAAAGCACATATACTCTACAGAAACATTTGAATGTTAAGCAATAAAAATTCAAAATTAGTACATGTATTGAGAACCAAATTTTACTTATGTACATGTAAAATACAATTTAGATCAGCATTATTCATTATCTACGCTGTATAAAAGATGCCAAATGTAGAAAACCATTTTTTCCTGCGTGCAAAACCGCAAATTATACGGCCTTTATCTATTCAGGAATATAAATCGCTGCAAACAACTTATGTAACACTATATTGTAGAAAATATTCCTCAGTCGCGTAAAACTGACGAATGGCGAATACAAGATGTCGAAAATAATAGCTGGTTTATATTTAATAAAAATATTATTTAAAATATTCAATTAAAGTTACTTAAATTAAAGTTCAAAAAAAGGTTTAACCTTCCTAAAGTAAGAAACTTCCTTAAAGTAAGAGTTATTTGATTATTTTATCTTGTAGAATGCATTGATGGATTTTATGACACAAAATGCAGCAGTCAATGCGGTCACTGTCTTCATGGAAAATGTATCAAAGAAAACGGAACATGTCTAGGAGGATGTGAACCCCACTGGGAAGAACCATTATGTCAAGGTATGCTTTTCCTTAATTTCTTGCGTCTTTTTCAACAAATCAAAATTGTTACTTGATAAGTTTGACCACGATATCCATTGAAAAGGAAATAAAAATGTGTAAAATGTGTTAAATAAGCGCTATTCGCTTTGATCGAAATATATTAAAAACTTGTTCACAGGCTTGAAAATTACAGAGTATTTTCTTTTAAAACTCCTTTAATTGATTTTTTTCAACTTATGATAATATTTATGTCCATTTTATCACACGATTTTCTTACATCAATCTTATTATCTCATTGCATTGTTATTCATTTGCATTTCAAGTCTTAAAGAATGGACGGAGAAAATATGAATATCAAACCCAAGCACCTATTTAGTCATTTAAGGTATCCGATCCATAATGGCCTCTGATTCAATGAATTTGAATGCATAGCAAATATATATTGGCTGAATACTCAGTATATGTAGACTTAATCTTTATATCTTACTCAATATGTAAGAGCGGAATGTGTCCTTATTTTTTACCTTGGCCCGTTCTTGAAGAGTTATCCCCCTTTGCTTTTGATCAATAAAATTCATTTCTTAAAAAAATCGAGCTTGTGAAAAATTATTGTTTAATTGTTTTTCTATTCTTAATAATAATATGCATCTATCCACCAAAGCATTTCTTTTTTGATATTCATAGTATTTTATTTTTTATTTGAAAAAATATACTTTTTCCCATAGACTTCAATGCATTCTTAATTAAATAATAACTGCTGGGGTAATTATATTTTTGAAAATTTCTCAAGGTAAATCCTTTTCTACTCTAAACTGCTTTGAATTAGTCATAGAGTATTTCATATAGGATGGACATTAAGGTTAGAAAATTTTGTCCTTTTATGGATCGGATACCTTAATAGTATAACGAAATTCTTTTCTATATTTTTATGACAATCATGGACTGATTTACCATTATGGTCTATTTAAGTATATACGAGGGTTTTTGGAAAAGTTCGTGGACAACTGTCATATCTTTTTTATTTGACGTCATATGTTTTACAAATTTGGTAGAAATATTTAAACAATCAATCCAAATAATTTGTATTAATTTTTTTTTCAAAATTTTACGATTTATTAAAAACTTATCAAAATTTCAAAAATGCAAAATTAGATCTTGGAGCAGGTCAAAATTTAGTAAGTTACAGACAATGCGCTTCATAATGTCTTAAGTGATATTCTCTGTAAAATGGAGCAAAAACAAAAAAAAACAACAACTTTTAAATTCAAATTCAGAATTGTTACATTGATTTATATATCAAATTATGTTTTTATATTTTGCTTTGTTGAAAAGAAGTCAACTTAAGAAGAGAGGTAGTCCGTATTGAAAACGACAAAACGATGACGTTTAAGAACATCACGAAGCAGCGGATAACGATGCAATTTTGTGTTTTACTCAGGGAAAAAAATCCTGAATAAACTCTAAAATGTTGGGGAAATAAAGGCAAATATGTCACAAGCAAGCTGTTGCATGTGTGTACAAAAAGTACAGGCAGTATTTGAGTGACAGAGACTCTGTATCGGATGAGGATGAACTGTAAAGAAACGGTTTAACTGTAAGAAATCTTAATATAACTTTTAAAAGTTGGAACGTCAAGGAAAGACATAGGCGCTTCAGTGTTGCTTATCCTGTGAAAGCAGAGTTGAGTTTTAAAAGAAAATAAAACCTTAACAAAGGGAAACAGCAAACAACAAACGAGAGCAATTCTTAACAAAATAGATGTCAAGTACAAAATAGATGTCAAGTATTAGAAAAAAGATTAAATTAATGGGCATTGTAATATTGTATGAAATAAATAGGGATAGTATTTTTATGAATTTTTAAAGCTATGTTTTGACGTTGCATTGCCGTTAAGGGTGCTCTGCGTGTACCAAACATCTTGATTTCAAAATGAAGTATTTTGATTTCTGTTAAATCGAATGGAATGAAACTTCACATATCAACAATACAATCACTTTTAAATATTATAATCTGCTTGTGTCAAATTTCTAGTGAGTTATATAACTTAGAATGACATCGTCCACGACCTTTTCGAACAGCCCTAGTATAAATATATAACGAATATTTTTGAATATTTTGTTTGAATGATATATTGTAGAATGTAAGGATGGATATTATGATGCGAACTGCAGTAGCAAATGTGGGCACTGTTTAAATGGAGAATGTGACAAGAAAACTGGGACTTGTAAAGAGGGTTGTTTACCGAATTGGCAAAAACCTTTATGCCAAGGTAGAATAAAAACAATTATTTCAAAGTATTTTGTTTCACATTATTAAACATTTATGAGGGTAATCAAAGAGTTTGCCAATAAACAAATAAATTTAATTTTGAATAATAGAATTTATGACAACTCATTCATCTTCACAAAGCTTGAACAAATTAATATTTCCTTCTGCAAAGGAATATCCAAGACTTATGTTAAACTTTGCTGTCCTTCGTTGCTCTAGCATGACAGAGTCAACCGTTTTCTGTAGCAAGTCATATAAATATATTTACATCCACTGAATATTTTCTCCTTTATTTCTTAAGAAACCCCATTGCGTTCATCACTGCATAAACAGCAGTAGGCAGGTCGCCTGTACAGATTTCTTAATCAGTGGCTGTTCCATCAATGGAACGTATAAAGACGTTCGCATCATTAATACAATAATTAATCTTTTTAATCCTACTTTAATTGATTATTTAAACAGATATAAATATAAACAATAAAATGCTTTCTTTGTTTGTTGTTACTGGAATGAACGGAAGCAGCCATTGCAGAAAAAATTTACATAACCCGCTTACGCGGGTTATGTATTTTTTCTGCAACAGCTTACGCGGGTTATGTATTTTTTCTGCAACAGCTGCTTCCGTTCATTCCAGTAACAACAAACAAAGAAAGCATTTTATTGTTTAAATGAACTATTTTCACGTCACAAGCATAGAGTAACAAAATACATATATTGTGCTATTATTAGAATATGTGTTCCAAATTTCATTCTAATTTGAATTTCCCTTTTTTAAATACGAATACGTCGTAATTTTTCTAATCACCCATCATAATTTACAATAGTTTCATGTATATGTAATATCGAGAAACAAATTTCTGAGGTTTTCACTATTGTAAATTAAAGTTTCAAAGTTGTTACAATAATTATTGTTAATTACAGTTCCAAAGTTTTTCCTTTTGTACTTTAATTAAAAATAGTAGAGTATAGTTTACTACAATAATTTCTTGTCAGGGTTGCATCGACACTTTTTTTCATATATAAGAAAATAATATAAACCTAGACATACTGTGAGCACTTAGTTCCCTAGATGATACTCCCCGCCCACCATATAGATATGTAAAAAGATACATGTTATGCTCTACAAGACCCCAAATCAGTGTCCGATTAATAAGTAAATCTTATTCAGTGGTATAAGAGGAATTACAGATAGGACATAGCTACCCCAAACGGACAGACGTACAGACTGACGTTTCGAATGACGGACATCCAGAACATTATTCTGTGAAACGAGAATATATGGCGCACTTCATATTTTAGTATCTTTAGCATCAGAGCCCCTGAAGGCTAAAATTTATTGTGCACCAACGCATCTCTAAATTATATATTTTCTATGTGTTCAAAGCTTTCGCATGTACATCTAAACTGGAAAACACGATAACGTAAAATCGAAGGGTCGTTGGATTTTTATAAACACACAAGCACTATAGGATCGATCTATAAAGTTCTGCCAAATTACAATTTTATTAAACTATTCTTAGTTGTCACCCTATACTTATCAACATCACCTTCAAAATTTGGCTTTTCGGAGTGCCAATCATCAGTCGCTTCGAGGTCAACAACCCAATCAAGCATGGCAATTGAGCTTCCAGACAATACCTGATTATGAATACCGTTTATCCAAGAATTTTTCTTTCGATGCATGCATTGTTTTTATATAAATAAGATGCGTCTATACTCCATGTTTTCTTTTATTTAGAAAATAAAATAAAATTGACATTGTGCCACGTCCATGTGATTGCAACCCCACGGTAAAGTTGACAAATATTTACTTATATACGGGAGTGTCATTGTGTGTTCCATGTTTAACAAACGAAAAATCAAATAAGGGAGTAGAATCTAGATAAAAGAAAACACTATCACTTTTATACATTTTAATGACAAGTGCAAGCGCTAATATTTATTTGCGCTAATGCATTCCTATTTACATTTGCGCTAAAATACTTATTTTTACAGTTAATTTACAGTATACAGTGTACAACCGCTTAATAAATAATAATTTAACGTATTATTTTTTTTATGCTATACGAATGCATGAGTGTTTGTCTATTTTGAAATATTTACCTGAATTTGTTTTTTGGATCTGTTATTGTAAAGTGTGTGAAAATGGATTTTATGGTCAAGACTGTCTCCAGAGGTGTGGAAGATGTTTTAACGGTACGCACTGTGATAAAGTCACCGGAAATTGTCAATCTGGTTGTGGGACGAATTGGAAAGAACCAAAATGTGAAGGTTAGTCATTATCTCTTTGCTTTTTTGATAATATTTTCATAATATATGTATATTTTCATACATGTATATTTTTTTTTCAGTATTTGTTTACTTTAGTATTTTCGTAGGTGACTTACATTCGTCAACTTTCACCCTTTAATAATAATTTTTAAAGATATATAAATATACATTTACTGTCAAAAAGAGAATATACACATATGAATGAAACAGTACAAAGAATATTAATGCCATTTTTTCAACTTATTGAATGAATTCTAAAGCAATGTAAAATTAATTAATGTGTATTTTAATCGGTGACTGAAATGCATTTTATCACGTTACGATTTGTCTAAGAACCGAGAGATATGTTTTCTAAACAAACACATTTTTACGTCTAAAATCACATAAAGATTCCTGCAAAGCTTTATTTTGTTTTTTTTTTTTTGAAAAATTTCCTCTCAGGACCTCTGCATTTCTCTGATAAAAATGTTAGAAAAATAGCGAAAAGAAAAACAACTTGATTATTGCTTTTAATGAAGTAAAATGTTGTTCCGGTAATATTTAAAAATATCACCCCTATCTACTGTGTCAATACCAAAATATTTAAATTATGGTTTTTTGGACATTAATAGGAAAACACTTCAAAATGTATCTCCCTTATTACGCAAATATGTACTCATCATCAAACTTACAACAGTAACCAAACATTTTCATATTAAGCCTAACAAAATTTAATGGAACATTTTATCAATCTATAACATGTATGAAGAAAAAGGGACGTAAGGGAAAGGTCTTTGACAAAGTTTCCTAACTGACTGAAAATACTTGTCCTTTTACACACAATCGCTGAAAGTTCAAGAACGAATTAAAAATTCTTAGTTAAAAAATTAATGATTTTATTTTCTAAATGTGTTTTGATAAAATTGTTTAGTTTGCAAAGGAGGCTTCTATGGATTTAACTGTACAGAAAGCTGTGGAAAATGTTCATCAGGAATACCCTGTTTTACAAATAATGGAAGTTGTCCGGGAGGATGCCAAAACCATTGGGATGGTATTAAATGTGACGGTAAATAACCATTTATAAACAAACTTTAAAATTTCGTTGGCGGTGCCAGGTCCCGATTACCCAACTATATGAAAAGAAACCTTATAATTTTCATTTCTCGATCTGTTCATTAATGAACAAAAAATTGTTTTGTTACGTAATCGTGATATCTTGAAGTGAGTTTTAAAAAATAGCTTACTATCCACCGTTTTTCCTAGAACAGTAACTTAATATTATCATCCTTTATGCTAAACCGTTAAATATAATTGTAAAGTATTTTTGCAACATATTTTGATACAAGACGTATATAAAACATAACCATTTAATAACAATTCTGTTATATGATTATATCTAATTTTTCACGTTACAATTTCCAAGAGGTCAGTTTAACTCCCTTAAGGATAAATAACACAAACAAACTTTTTTCAGAAATCAGCATTATTTTTCATAGATTTACATTTCAATTGACAACCTGAATAATGTTTACCAAGAAGAGTGGGAGAATTCGGTTAGATTTTGTCATAAATTTAAAAAATTGTGCAAAATTTTGTATGGATATATATAGAAGGCAAAATAAAATCTCAAATCTAAGCACCAAGGAAAACCTACGATTTCTTTATATTTCAGGGATTTATTATTTATATCAATACAAATCAAAATCAGTCAAAAAATATATATCAACCCGTGCATCCATTTTTTGTTTGTGGTAAGTACCCTTAAGTAGAGATGATACAAACAATAATATGGATGCCTTCATTATTTTTTTTTATTATTTTAGATATTTACATATTTGAGTGTGAATGACTAATAAATGTCTAAAATATTAAGAATTTGTAAGCTTTACTGATAAAATAATCCTTATTAATTTAATAATTTATACAATTTTTAGTCACTGAAATTCAAAGTATTGTGAATTTTTCAATTTAAAATAAAAATCTGTCCAGTTAAATTTTGTTTAATTAACCCATATAAATATAACTTAGGTTGGTAATTTTAGGAATTTTGATAAAAGTTTGTATCATTTGTCCTTAAAATGTACAGCGGTAAAACCTGGGAAGGCTTTGACATAATCTAACCTAACGCTGTAGGAGCAAATCATCCTATATTCAGCAGTGGTATTTCTTTCACTATTCCTCTGTGACCGTAGTTTTCTTTGAGTAGAAATTTCAAAGTGTATTGTTGATCAATAAATTAAAGAAGTGGTGTAAATCAGATGTGGATACATAAAATTCCAAGGAACATCGAAATCACAGGTATTCACTAAAATTAACAGCTTAAACCATTCCATATGATAAATTTAAGTTGTGACATTTTGCTATCTTTGACAGCTGATTTTTCACTCAAAAAGGAATTGTAAATTTACAAGCCTTCATTAGACATTAGACATTTCCAAAATTATTTTGTAAAAAGACATTGTGATTGTACAGTCACACAAATTCTCTAAAGTTGACATCAAACAGATGCTTGAGTTTCTGATGGACAAAATCTTCCAAAAATAGATTGGAATTCCCATTCCCATGTACCCATTGCGAACCGTTATTATATTCCTATATAACAGACTTTGCCCAAAATCTTATACGTGAAAAGAAGAAGAAAACTTGCTGTTGCCTTCATTTAGGCATTTAGATATATAGATGACAACGTATTGTCAATAAACAATGCTAGATACTGTCATAATAGTAAACTCTTAGTAGTTTTCCGCATAGTAAATTCAAGTTTTGGCATAGTGAATCAAATTGTCCAAAGTAATCATAGTTAACTATAAATATCTCTAGTTTTTTTTTGTTATGGTTCATCACCTGCAGACGGATTTATATATCACAGATGATTCGATACGCTAGAGCATGCTAGAAAAATTTTTAAAACGAGGTAAATTATTGACAAACAAGTTGAAAAAATGAACATCATTAGACTCCTTTAATGTCATAATTTTGTGAGTTCTATGGTAGATACAATGTCCTTGTCAGCAAATACTATTATTATTATTCCTCATTCCACCCCTGATGTTTTGGACGTCCGTGTTGGCTCCTATTTTGAATTTGTTTATTAACTTTTGTTCATTATCTCCATTTGTTTCATGAAGAAGTCAGCCAGGATTTGACTTACATTTTATTAAAAATTGTATGGACTCTAGAATTTACCAAGTAAAGATTTTAACGAGACTGCTGAAACTCCATATGGTATATTTTGGTCAAAACTTCCCTCGGTTTAGAAATTACTTAGACTTTGAGCAGGCTCTTAATTATCGAATCAATTCAGAGAATACAGTGTATCCCCGAGTTAAAATGATGGAGGTATATTGCTGCAAAAATAAGAGGAGTTGTCTACTGAAACGTTTAAGTCATTACGTTAATCATTGTTGTTAGACTACTATCAAAGAAAATATATAGCAGATATGTCAGACTCCGTATTATCTTTTATTTCAAGATCACCGGCATATAACGAATTGACATAATAACATAAATAACCTTGTTAATTGCTTTCAAATTTTTAACTCTACAAATGAATAATATTAGTAAAACCGAAAACAAGGGTTCGATAAGTTTCTGAATTATATTTAACACCTGAAAACGGAGTGTATATATCTCAGATGATTCGATACGCAAGAACATGCTCTACGTATGAACAATTTCTAAAACGAGGTAAATAATTGACAAGCACGTTGATGAAACAAGAATATCAGCTGTCTCGTTTAAAGTCATCATTTCGTAAGTTCTATGGTCGATACAATGACCTTGTCGGCAAATACAATTTATCATTGAGTCAAATGCAAACTGACGTTTTTCAAACCAACTGTTAGTGCATCATTTATACACTGAATTGACACGGATTTTTCCGCTTTTTCACGACCATGACAATGAGCACACGAAGGGTGTGACCGGTCAGCAGGGGATGCTCACTCCTCCATGGCACCGGATCCCGCCTCTGATGTTTCAGAGGTCGGCGTTTGCTCTGCTCCTATTTTGTATTGTTTTATTGACTTTGGAATTGAATAATGTTCGTTATTTCCCTATATTTCCTTATCAAAGTTTTTTACTTATTATTCAGCTAACTTTTTACTTAGCTGTTTCGTGAGTAAATGTCAGTTTTATGCATATATACTTCAGCTTAAAGTCACACTCACAAAAAATAAACGATGAAATTTATATTCCTTCCTTAACGTTTATACATTTTATCTCAGAATGTAAGACAGGTAAACATGGCACAGACTGTACTATTGCATGTGGAAACTGCAATAAAAGTTATCCAGCTTGTGAAAGATATTCAGGAGTTTGCCTTTTAGGTTGTGAGGAAAACTGGAATGGGTCAACATGTGAAGGTACGAGATTTTATTATTTCAAATTTGGCAAAGAGAATTATGTGTTATACGAAATCTTAGTTTCTGTAATCTTTTATCATAATTCATCAAATTTAGTAAATTTGCGACTTCAAAGCATCGATGAGGAAAATGATGGTTCAATCATCGGGGGTACCTTAGCAGCTGTCATCATAATAACCATTGGTGGAGTATCGTTTTTTATACTTTACAGGTAAGATTTGCTTAGGGTCTTGTATGTAAATTTCAGCTCAAGTTTCCTTCTTAACAGAATAGGCTACAGCGTTGGTTGTGATTTCTTTTCATTGGAGGGATAATGGATATCTTCGAACTTTTATATCATATAAACATATAATTCATTACGTAATTTATTAAAGATCGACCTATAAAGCCTATGAGACAATACAATGTATCCCATTTTCGCTGCATAATATGTCATCACTCATAATTAAAACTTACCATAAAGTAATTTTTACCAGCTTTATTATGATTTAACCTTTAATAATCTCTAGGCGTCGCAAAAATAAAGACAGCACAAGAAGTTCAGGCGAAATCAGAATCCGCAATGACACAAATTTAGAAGACCTTTGTGGTAAAACTTCTTTCACTTTGTTAAAACTTGAATGATTTTTTTCCCAATTTCCAAATTGTATCTTTGAATTGTTTCTCTTTTGTTATTTATAATGCATGGCGACACCAATTGATTATATATTGATTATATATTTTACAGTAAATGAAATGAAAGCAAAAAATAGCCGGACAGGAACACAATCTGATGGAGATTGCTATGAAAATATAGTCAATTTAACCACTAGCATAAGTATTTCGGAACTACGAACCATGATTAATGAAAAAAGAGAAGGGGAAAACAAATTGTTTCTCATTGAATACAAGGTATATCTTATTGCTCGTTGATTTAAAAGATGGGGTTGAAGTTTATTTTTTTATAAACCTAATTGTCATTTAATCATTATACGACCTTTTCAAGTCACATTTCTTATTCCTTATGCATTGTGACTTTCAGTCTTAAAACCATACCATATAATACATAACAATTATTTTAATGTGCTAAAACCTTTATGGTTATTTACACAGATACAAATACACCGAAATAAATATCTTTATCAATGATGTTGTAAAATGGAATCAAAGGACCAAGTTATCGGAAAGTGTACATAAGTCGTTTAATTAACAGAAGAAACGCTATTAAAATTCATTAGATAAGAATTGTAATGTCACTCTATTTAAAAGCACTCAAAAGGGTTGGTTCACGCAATTTAGAAGAATATACCTTCTATGAGCAGAATATCGTAAATTGTAGATCTTGCAAAAATATTCTTTTAAGGACAGATGATACAAACATTTTTTTCTTTTTTTTTTTGGAGGAACTTTATATCATGTCACAGGTATTGGTAATATTTCAATAAAATAACAAATATGCATGGACAAATGACACTCATTTAATTCAATTTTTTTTTTCATATAAGAACAAATTTCAGGATATATTTTATATTTCACTTTTAGTCCCGTGGGGATCCGGGTTAGAATAGGTCCTCAGTACCCCCTTGCTTGTCGTAAAAGGCGACTAAATGGGGCGGTCCTTCGGATGAGACCGTATAAACCGAGGCCCCGTGTCACAGCAGGTGTGGCACGATCAAGATCCCTCCCTGCTCAAAGGCCGTAAGTGCCGAGCATAGGCTTAAATTTGCAGCCCTTCATCGGCAATGGTGACGTCTCCATATCAGTGAAATATTCTGGAGAGGGACGTTAAACAGTATACAATCAATATATTTCACTTTTAGCACCAATCTAGCAAATCATCTGTCTTTAATTTTTGACCTTCTATAACATATGAAAAATAGATGGATACACAAGTCAAAAAGGAATTTAGCTTGCATGTATGTTATAATGATTACATGTATTATGTTATATTGTTTTACTTCCCATTCGACTATTTTTCACGAATTTTATTTAGCATTTAACCACAATACACCGGTTGCATTTGTATTATATATCATAGAATCCACGTGGAAATTCCTATTTAAATAACCTTAAAAAAAAGTTTTATTATAAACGTCATTTAAGCCTTACATAGAACTATCTAATTAAAACTCCATGTTAAATCCTCTTGCTTACTCGCCACACTAACATCTAACAACACCCCATAGAAGGTCACGTCAGAGGTCAAATCCTATCAACTAATCAAAGCGTCTCCTGCTGATTTGCCAATTTGCGCATATTAAGCTGATAAGTTGTTTCGAATTTGATCTCCGACCTGACCCTCTATGAAATGTTGTTAGATGTAAGTGTAGCGAGTATGCAAACAAATCTAACATCTTATTATAATTAGATTGAAATCAGGATTGCAGATTTTTTTTTAATTTACAGTAGAATATTTCTGTATGTTTTGTGTGTTGAGGGAGAGATTTTAAATGGTACATGAAGTGAACTTAAAATTGACGACTGATGAGTCAGCCGTATTGTGATCATCGGGTATCATACAGCAGACAAGATAGGAAACATAATACTGTGACAATGATTTTATTAGTCCCCTACCGGTGAAACCGGAGGTAACTATAGGTTTCTAGTCCGTCCGTCCGTCCGTTCCTCTGTCCCATGTCTGTCAGTCATTCTGTCCTGCTTGGTTTTCCGCTCTTTTAAAAAACTATATACAGACATTTAGCTGATTTTGTGCATGTGAATGTATCTTAAAGAGTTACAGATCAAGTTAGAATTCTGTTCCGCTTCATTTGCTTTTGACAAAATAATTGCATTTTTAATTTTTAATTATTGGGATTATGATCGGATTATGCACTAAATCAAAGTTCCATCTTTGATGGCCATGATCTCGTAGCGAATGTTGCAAATGCTATACATGTAAAACATTCTAACATCGATTGCAATGACGCTCTTTTGACTTCCCAATGCCTGTGCTTCAGCTGTATTATACATCTTATATTTATAATGACATTTTTAAATGAATATTTATGTTCAATTTATGAACTAGTGAGGTGGTATTGAACAAAAACTTTAGTATTATACCCTTTGTAAATAATCATGTTTATTTTTCAACATTCATTCTGACATACTCTTTTGTAATTGTTTATATTTTCATGCATAATCTACATATAATATAGGAAAATCAATACAAGTATCTCTTATATACTACCAAACAAAACCCCCCACCAACCATCTTCGTTACCTCTTTAAAATTTTTCAAAAATAATTTTGTCATTATACATGTGTATTTCTAACAAAAGGAAGAAGGGTAAGATTACTTTAATGCCGAATTTAATTGCCCTCAGAACTTTTAAAAAATGGGTACAGAAATATAAAAAAATATAATCATAAATTCGCTTTATCTTGAATACCTATAGAAACTTCCACCTGCAGAGACAAACATCTGCGAAGCTGCAAAGAAGATTGAAAATGTTGCAAAGAACCGTTTTAAAGCCACATTTCCATGTGAGGACTTTACCTTTTTCTATATTTCATAGATATAATGAGTTTTGATTTTAGTTCATGAACTGATATGCTTCTTATATATTTTGTTTTAAAACAGTCGTTTTCAACTCACACTGCATTAGGTATGATTCTGAGTACAAGACGTCATGTTCTTATGATAATGTAACCAATTCATTTTTCGTGGCCCTGGATTTGATATACAATTTTTGCTTATCTACCATCCTGTCATATGAAGAAATAATAGGCTCATACAAGGCACCTCTATATAAATAAAAAGAAAGTATTTCTTGAAAAATCAACGAGTGAAATAAGTGAAATACTAAGAATGGGTGGATTTAACGTTCTTTTTGGAATCTTTTTGCGATTACTCTACCAAGTTGTAAATGAAGCAAATCCAAAATATTTTACAAGCAATAGAAAGCTAAGACCAACATATACATGGTTATTTTAGGTAAACATTTGTTCAAAATCAATGACTTGTTGCCATGAATTAAAATTGAAGCTACGATACAGTAGTGTCTTCATCTGGAATTTGACATGTATCCGGAGTGGTTTTTAGGTCACGCAATCAATATTAATAGGAGGCGGGGCTATCGATCGGTGTCATTGTTGGTATTTCTCTCTCCATCTCTCTCTCGCTAGATAATCGAATTCGTGTTTGGCATATTACAGCGATAACATTTTTTTTTTGAAAAAAAATTAGGACACATAAAAATTACAACAACATTTAATAAACGGCAATCAAACGTAGCGATTTACTTCGAGGTCGGGTTCAAGAATACAAAGTAACTTTTTTCATGTGCACACGCAGATGAACATCACTTGATGAATTGTTTATATAACAAGTCAATCGAAGTCATAATAATGGAAGCAAAAAGTCTGTTTTGAATATGCTTCTGCAAAATTGTTTGTGAGAGCAAGGTTGTCTGCTCTTCTCCTTTTAATATGACATTATTTTCAATATACAACTACAGTTTTCTAATGAACAGCCAACAAACATGCGCTGGCTATGTAATTAGACAATGAAAAACACTTGACCCTGATTACTTTTTTATATTCAAAAAAAAAAAAAAAAAAAAAAAACTTCAGGCACCATTGCCTTTGATATTTATTTAGTTTTTCTCGAAAAGGGCATCTTAAATTCACATTTGTACCATAAATTACGGTAAAGATATCCGGGGGGGGGGGGTTACATGATGAAGATTAAAAGAACAAATATTTTTTGAAACTTTCATTTACAGCTTTTTTCTAGCCCGTGAAGTCCATCCATTCTTAAGTAAACCCTAAATGTACTTTGGAAGGAGAGTTTATCAAATTACAGATTCTTAAGTAATGTTTGTCCAGAATGTAATAGGAAAATTTAAAGCAACTACTTTTGCTTAAAAATTTTAAATGGCAAAAAATACGCAGCTTAACATTGTGAAAATAGAATATTTATGCATTATTATGTAAAACTTTGCATTTTCTACAACTGTATAGAAAATTATTTTCACCCCGTTTTATTTTCACCCTTTTACATAAGCAAACAATTTCCTCCCGTTTCAATTTTTTGCCCCGTCACATTTTTGTTTAAGAATTAATACTGTGTTCTTTGAATTCGCCCTGTTTTAAATTCACCAACTAATTACAATGGAGAAGTTGGCGAAAAAAAGTGCAAAAATTTACCTACATGTGGTATTTCATTAATACATTTAAATTTTGAGTACCATAAAAATATTTTATATTCTTCTTTCATAAGATGAACATTCGAGAGTTGTACTACAGGAAAATTGGACTGACGTGGATAATGATTACATCAATGCCAATTTCATTAAGGTTTGAAAAAGATGAATAATAATAATGTATCAAAAATCAATTAAATTGTTGAAAATGTTTATGAATTATAACGAGGTCTTTGGAAGTCATGTTGAGTTATGATTCAATATCTGTTATAGAACTATAAAGGAAAAACTTTCTATATAGCAGCGCAAGGTAGGTTCAATGTTTATTTTCTGTTATATACATTAATCAGGAAATTTCCTTTCTCTCTAACTAAATAAACAATTGAAATATAATATGATTTCAAAAGAAAAAAACGTTAATCCAAAAGTAATGTCACAGTGTCCAAATAAATTATATTTGGCGATATATTATCAAATATTATATACATAAAGATGCACAAATAAAAATCTAATTAATCTTGAATTTTTCATTCAATAATGTTTAACTAAATTTATTTTATAGATGTTAAAAACATAAACATGGGTGGTGTCGCCGCATCACAACCGAATGTGAAAAATTAAAGAGTACTTTTTTGAGATTAAAAAAAAGACAAACACATTAAAAAGCATTTTTAAAAACCACCTTATCATAAATATTTTAAAAGACAAAAATTTACATCATTCTCTAGTTTTAATTGAAAATTATATATTAAAAATATATATTAAATGACATAATTGCTAGTTTGTGATCAAAAACTTCATTGCTTCATGTAATTCTATTAATAGCGAAATGTTCCTTAAGACCTAACAGATCAACAGTATCTCGGAGTGTAACATCTTTTTTGAGCAATTAATATAGTCATAAAACATTTATAAAGCCTAGAAGTGGTGCTACATTCCCACTGTCCAGTCCGTAAAATAATTATTTTACACATTCGCAAGAAACTTTACCCGATGTTTTGAATTTTATACATCTCATCCGAGTTTTTATTCCTAAAACTGTGTTTATCGTGGGATTCTAGCAGCGATGTCCAAGTATTTTTGAAGGCAAACTTTCGATCTGTATAAATCTGTATGACAAATACAGCTTACTGTTGTTATTTTGCATTATTTTGTCACGAATGACAGAGGAAAGTCCAACCATGATATGTATATAGCTGTCTCTCTTCAAAGCTTCAAAGGGGAATATAATCAATGAAAATAAATAAGCATACTTGTTTTATGAACTTTAACTTCATATGAATTTCAGATAATATATATGATATTTGCTTCGCTTCTAAACTCCATTTTACGTATCTGTGTACATGACGTCTTAGCACGACATGATCAATTCCAAAGTTACTTGATGTAACATATGAAGTCATCGGTGGAATATTTTTAACAAAATGACTGATACAGCATAACCAAAAAAAAAATTGTTAATGATTTTACGTCTCTATTCATTTTCAATATTTATATTAAATCTTTAAATACAAGTATCACGAAAACATGGTTTTAAATGGACATCATCTCGCCTACTATGACATTATAATGTATCTCTGATTTAGTTGAGGTAGGAAATTCCGAATGCTTCCTTTTTACCCCTGAGCAGTTGAAACGATAGAGCCATCACGTAAATCATAAAGCTCAGATGTTTGATTACCATTAACGTCTTTTTTCAATCAAAATATCCCAAAATGAAAAAGATAGGCCAGACTCTGTGATATCTTTTATTTTACGCTCAACGGGAATTAACGTATTGACATGAGAATGGAAATAACCATTGGAAATTGACAATTCGTAGTCGATAAATCTAAAAGTCGAGTTAAAGAACACAGCTAGTGTTTTCTTCTTTTCATTTATAAGATTTTGTACAAGTACTGCTTCATATGAATATACTGCTTCATGTGGATACAGAAACCGGTCTGTTAATTATTGATAACCCTGTAACTTCTAATAGATTGATGGGTGTTTATTATTTTTTTTCCTCTCACAGGTCCTAAAAAGAACACCTTAATAGATTTCTGGAGAATGATTTGGCAGGAGAATATACAAAATGTAGTTATGTTGACGAACCTTATAGAAAACGGCAAGGTGAAAAAAGATACATGAGTACATTTTTAAACATATTCTACTGTAAAGATTTATGTTTGATTCTACGTATGTGATTCTTGTTAAACATTTTGTTTTTAGAACAAGTGCATACAGTACTGGCCAAATAAAGAACAACCCATGGCTATTGGACCATGTAAAATAGATCTTTTAAATGAAAAAGTTTATGCATTCTGGACAATTCGGAAATTGTCAGTTCAAAGAAAAAATGTAAGTTTATGCAAACCAAATAAAAACATCGTCAATATTTCACTCCCTATATTGATTTTCCTGATGAAATTAGTTATAAAGATCCGTTCTTATCCATACTCATGTACATATCTGTATTGAAATTATTGTCAATATACAAAGCCCCCTAGCAAGAGAATCATCACACAGTTCCACTACACCGCCTGGCCAGATCACGATACACCAAATGAGGTAGAACTTGTCCAGTTCCATAGATTTGTATCAAAGAAAATGAACGGTAACACACCAACTGTTGTTCACTGCAGGTATGTTATGGTAAATTTAATAATATTTTATTCATAAAAAAAGAAAAAAAGATTAAAGTCATAACGCAGAGTCAACAATTTGTTCTAATGAAAAACATGTTCATTTGTGACAAAATTTGTTTAATAATGAGTCAATTAGAATTTGCCAGTAAGGCTAACACAAATGTATTTAAGATAAGGAAATTTAAGGTACTTGAATTGGTTTGCAATTTCCCATCCACTTGAACACGCAAAAGGTAACTTTTGGAACCTTCTGATAGACTAATAACGAGACTAATGTTTTTGTTTTATAATGCATAAACATTGTAAATATACTTACATGTATTTATCTAATATTTGGAGCGAAAAGTAACAAGAAAGTTTAGGTTTGAATATGTCGTACATAGTAACATGTAATCATTTTATCATTGAATGTCCAAACAATATACATGCATATTTGTTACTTTCAGCGCTGGAGTTGGTAGGACGGGAACATTTATTGGACTTGATTCACTCCTAGCGCAGGGACAAGAAACTGGGCGGATCAACGTTTTTGACTTCATTAAACGAATGAGAGAGGACAGGATGACCATGGTTCAAACTCTAGTATGTGAATAGTTACGTGAAGCGGATTAAACAATTTGAACCCGGGACCTCTCACATGTGAAGCGAGAGTCATACCACTACACCACGAAACCGTTTTTACCTAGTGAAAATTATATCCAAAGATGAAGTCACATACATGTATATATTCACGTTCAATATCGTCAAAATGTTACACAATGCATGGTGTCTAATTTAACCTTTATTACAATGTAAAAAGAACATAAAGTCCGCTGAGAACCTGTTTTATACGTTATAACTCTCCTCATGCCCCTGTGCTAAAAATAGCGACATGTAATACAATAAATACTAATAATACAAATGGGGCGGGACAATTTGAGAGGGGTGAGAGAGGTCCTGGTTCTGGAGTTCTGGTATAAAATTACGTTGCAAAAGCTCAAAATGCTCTTGAAATATCGCCCGGAAAGGATATTTTTACTCACAGAATAAATGTATAGATTACGACCTTGAACTTTGACCTTTTCACCTCAAAATATATAGGGGTCTTCCTTAGGCCACAGGATGTTGTTATGTAAAGTTTCATTGCAAAAGGTCAAAGGCTTCTTGAGATATGGCGGGGAAACGAAAATATTTTAATAGACAGAATTTGCGAATTTATTTCCTTGACCTTTTGACCATTGACCCCAAAATCAATAGGTTTCTTCTTTAGTTCATAGGGAATTGTTGTGCAAAACTTCATTGCAAAATCTCAAAGGTTTCTCGGTATATCGTGTTGAAACAAAAGCGTTACAGACAGACAAGAAGACCGAACAGACGGACGGACGGACGGACAGCTGGATGGACGACGGACAGAACCAAATTAATACCAATAAAGGAAGTGTTCATTATACAGGAAAATATCAGTGTCTTGAACATGAGATACTCGAATACCCCGTTTATTTCGAAGTCGATAGCCGGTCCTGACCGTATTCTGTATATGTGTTTAGAAAAATTCCGTTATTCCGAACACTTAATCTCAAATACCCTGCTGATGACAAAGTATAATGAATGCCCAAATTCCTTATTATATCTTGCTTATCTCTAAGTGAATTTTCCGGTCTACTGAACATTATCGTCTTGACTTCACACATTTTCGCCAGTGGCAATTAACACCTTCTAAAACCATGTCTTCAATCTTTATCTAGAGTTCAACAGCAGTTTAGAACCGACAAACTTTTTTATATTGCGTAGAAGAAAGATGTTTTTAAAAATTTAATGAAACCAAGAGAAAAGTTTCAGGTTCTATACATTGCCTTGCAGGAGCAGTATGTATTCCTGCATGAGGCACTCAATTGTGGATTTCAGAAGGTCACTTCGATGTCAAAAGATGAGTTTTCTGAAAATATTGAAAATTTGCTGAATGACAAATCACCCTTAAATCAAAGAATGCTATATAAAGAGTTCAAGGTAAAATGTCTTTGATATTGATATGAAGTTGCCAAATGTTGTAACCTTAGAACATATTTTATTTTTCTTTTTATTCAGCTTTTGCAAACACTTCAACAAAGCTCCGAGTATGTGGATGCCGAAAATACTAGTCAAAACGTAAATAAAGAAGTCTCGCCTGGTATGTATTCTGTAAAGGATGTATATTACGCATTGATTCTTTATTAAAAAATCATTTTGTGTTTTAAAGGTGTGAGCTGTTCTAATAAGATTTGAATTAGTAAACAATGACTTTAAATGGTGTTTTTACTGCTAAATGAATTATGAAGCACTATGAAGTTGAAATAAATTTAGACTAAATTTTTCCGAAGTGCACAGCTATAATAGAGTTTTGTGGAGATTGATTGGGTGATACTTTACATGTCATTCAAGAAAATTTACTCTTATAGAGAGTTCATCATATACCGATAAAGGTTGTGGAAAATAATATCGAAAAAGAAAGCCGGGTACATGTAGCTTCATTCACTTTAAAATCATTTTTATATTAGAGAAAAAAAAACGTTTTCTGAGAGACGGTGGCAATCTTAATCGACTTTATTTTTAGGACAGCTTAAAATTTAGTTCTACGATGAGTTTACTAAAAATTATTACTCAAATCATATTTTTACCAAGTCGTATTTATAAAGAATAATAAAAATGAACCGTTTCTCGAATTTGAGAAAAATTTAGGCTCCTTCATTCTTTAGATCTTATCCCTCAGGGACAATTTCTTCACCAATCACAGGATTTATTTTTGCTTTTCGTAGTTTCAAAGTACCAAGTATACCTTACATCGTACATGAAAGGACGAAACGATTTCATAAATGCAGTTATGACACCAGTATGTATATGACATTTGTCTGTCATAATCTTTGTCAATTAATGTGCAAATGGACCTTTAAAGCAACTTTTTAAAATTGTCATGTTTAACATTTCAGTCTTACACTAATCCTTTTGGAATGATCTTGACCCATACTCCTCTACCAGACACTGAGGTGGATCTGTGGAGATTATGCTTTGATCACGAAGTGGATGTATTGGTGGTCCTTAATGAAAGTGATAAGGTTTTATACTTACCTTCTTTTTCTGGGCTTGGATTGAAAAATCCGGGGCGAATTTAGTTTTTGTCTTTTCTGTCTGTCTGTCTGTCTGTTTGTTTGTTTGTTTGTTTGCCTGAAAACTTTAACTTTCGCCATAACTTTTGTACCATGAAAGATAAAGACTTCATATTTGGTATCCATACTCCATTAATTAAGTTTTTTTTCAAATGACACCAAGGTCAATGACCTTGTGACCTTGACTGTGACCTGTATGCCAAAAGTAGTTTTTTTTTGTACCTTTGCAATAACATCTGAACCATAGAAGATAGAGACTGCATATTTAGAATGCATACTCCACTAATTAATGTCTTTCCAATGACACCAACGTCAATGACCTTGTGACCTGTATGCTTAAAATAGTTTTATCGTACCTTTGTCATTTGAGTCACAAGAGATAGACACTTCATATTTGGTATCCATACTTTACTAAATATAAATCAAGGTCTTTCAAATGACAATTATGGCAATGGTCTTGTGACCTTGACTGTGACATATATGCAAAATATAGTTAAAAATAGCTATTTTAAAAAGTTGTTGCCGCTGTGCATTGTGTTTCACAAACACATTTTGTTAATTTTTATATTGACATGTCCTTAAAATACAGATCTAATTTTTAAACTGAAGAACTGCAGCTCTGAAAAGAAATGACAGAACATAGAGCTATAATATATTTCAATTGGTTTATGTCTGCTTATGAAAGTTAAGTATTTTGTATACATTGCTCCTACAAATGATGAATAGAATTGCTTCCTATTGACAGAATTAATATGTTAATATTCTACTTACTATTAGGAAAATGATTGGCTTCCAAAAAGAGGGTCGTCTAAGGCTTGTATTCCTTTCACCCTTGCAGTGGGCGACACAGGTAGCAATATCGGTGGTGTATCGGAAGACCGTTTAGTGATTTCAAGAGACGTAAGATCATCCATAAGGTTTATACAGTACAGTTTATGTGCCAAATGATAACAACGGCAAATTTTTCAAAAAAAAAAAAAAAAAAAAAAAAAGATTCTTTACGAGGATTGACTATGTTTTTTTTTTTATTTTGAACAATACTAATATAAGACAAATGTAATGACGTTCAGATAACATGTTGCAAAGACAAAACCAAATTAAAAGTTTAGGCTTAAACATAATTTTAAAAATTTTCATCCAAATCGTTCCAGACTTTAAAAAGCCGTGAGAGAAGATATAGATTCCACTGTGTAATTTCAAAATTAAATTTGTTATTTGTTATACCAATGATGAATATATCGCTGGTCAATTAGAACAAAAACAATATCTATTAATATATATGAAAAAAATAAAATTAACATCGAATCCAATAATTTCTTTGAGTAAATAAATTAGTTGAAAAACATCTCTTCTACATAAAATGTGCCGCTAGAATCCCACTGTGCGATCGGTAAAAAAATTATTCCAAACATTCGCACGAAAACTTAACCAATGTTTTGAATTTTATACATATAACCTTCTAGAGTTAAATTGCATATACTGAAAACATGAGTTCTAAAATTTTTGTCATCTCGCCTACTATGACGTTCTCATGTATCACTGACTTAGTAAAGTTTGAATAATCGGAATGTTTCCTTAACCCACCTTTTTTTCTTTGAATTCAAATTATGTCAAAACTGTAAGTTTTGAACATGTCCATCCAAAAGTTTTATAAACCAAAGAAATTGTTTCACCAAATAAAAAAAATACGACAAGGATCAAAATGTGACATTGACTGTAGAATTTAGCAAAATTAAATATTCTATTTGAAATTGTTAGCATAAAACTTAATAATTTGTTATATTCTTTTTTAAGAGATAAAAGCATTTTCAAATCAATTTACATTAGAAAACAATAAACAAAATTTATTTTTGTGCAACGTCATAATAAATATTTTCCACGCAAATTCGGTCCAACTGCATTATGTTAGCCCCACCTCAGCTGTAAAGCATCATTTTTAAATCATGAATTGACAATTACACGGGACAACTCTCTGCTTTAATTAAGGTAACTGAATAATAGCTGAAATTTAAGTTGATTCCCCCCTGAAACAGAATTATACTATACCATAAGTGAT